GTGTGAGGGTGCTGAGGCTGTGATTTGTGACAGTGTGAGGGTGCTGAGGCTGTGATTTGTGACAGTGTGAGGGTGCTGAGGCTGTGATTTGTGACGGTACTGAGGCTGTGATTTGTGACGGTACTGAGGCTGTGATTTGTGACGGTACTGAGGCTGTGATTTCTGACAGTGCTGAAACTGTGATTTGTGACGGTGCTGTGGCTGTGATTTGTGACGGTGTGACGGTGCTGAGGCTGTGATTCGTGACGGTGCCTCAAGTACATGAGCTGTGGCAGCGGCGTGGCCCCGACCGCAACAGCCCTGACCCCAGCCCTGTGCTCTTGGTGTGCTCGGCAGCGTGACCGGGTGGGCAGCGAGCTGAAGGCTATGGTGCAGGTGCCCCCAGGGTACCACCTGGTGGGGGCGGACGTGGACTCCCAGGAGCTCTGGATTGCCGCCATCCTGGGGGAGGCGCACTTCGCCGGGATGCATGGTAAGAGGTGCTCACAGCTCGTGTTTGTGTTCATGTCACTTCACCTGAAACAAGCACGCGCCCCGTTGCTGAAACAGAGTGCATTTCCTGAGTTTCCCACGTGCTCTGAGTGATTTCCACCATGTCATACGGACCTGAATGTTGCACTCCGTCTTGAAGTGAGCTCCGACGTTTCCACTGTGAGCCGTGGGCTATACGCCAGGGGCTGTAGAATCGCTCAGAGTTGCTCAGGTTGTGCGTAAGCGGGCAGCAGCAGGCCTGCAGATCACAGGCCACTGCTGACAGCCGTGAGCTCTGCATGGATATTGTTCTGGCAGGGTGCACGGCGTTTGGATGGATGACTCTACAAGGCAAGAAGAGCCAGGGTACCGACTTGCACAGCCGCACTGCAGCAGCTGTGGGCATCAGCCGAGAGCACGCCAAGGTCATCAGTTACGGCCGCATCTATGGCGCAGGGCAGCCCTTCGCCGAGCGCCTGCTCATGCAGTTCAACCACCGGCTCAGTCAGGCGGACGCTGCTGCCAAGGCCCGGCAGATGTACGCCGTCACCAAGGGAGTCCGCAGGTGCGCTGTTTCTCCTATTCGGTGGCGATTTTCGCTGTACAGAGGGGCCGTACCAGCTCGCTAATGCCACTTTCACAAAGTGTTTTTGTGTGGGAGCTTGTAGTGTTTTTTGTTCTGCGGGGTCAGTTGTGAGCACACCAGGGTGGATACTCCGGGCAGACTACAGGAGGATAACAGTTGATAACTCTCTGACCTGCGCCAGCTTTGTGGGCTCAGCCTTGGAAAAGGCTGTTATTGTTTCAGCTGTGGTATTTCTTAAAGAGGTGTTGTGTTGTAAGACAAATCATTACAGTTTTTTCTAAATTTGTTTTCAGTTTTTTTCTTGAATTCCCCACATAAAAGTACTTTCAGGACTTTTAGTCGCTCGTTATGGCCATAGCTGATCCCAGATTCCCCTCCTCCTGCATGGGGTGTTAATGGCAGCAGCGGCTGGAATGGGCATTCCCGGGCATCCTAACACACTACCTGGGGGTCTGTGCTCTGGACTGCAGGTACAGACTGTCCGAGGAGGGGGAGTGGCTGGTCAGGAAGCTGGGCCTCACTGTGGACAGAGATGAGGATGGCACCATATCCCTGCAGGAGCTTCGCAGGATCCAGCGGCTGGCCAGCCAGAGGTGAGAGAGTGCAGCGCAGAGCCGGGCCGGGTACAGCTGTTCCACATTGATCCCCCGTGTAGAGCATGTGCATGTTGTGCATGGAACAAAAATGTTATTTCCCCATAAACGTTCTTATATTTGTTAGCACTTGAGAGGAGGCCACAGCCCATCTGCCCAGTTCAGTCGTTAACAGTTAATTGATCGGAAGATCTCATCCAGCTGTTCCCCTCGGCAGCTCCGCGGGGCGCAGGTGGGAGGTGGCCGCTCAGCGGCTCTGGGCGGGCGGCACCGAATCACAGATGTTCAACAAGCTGGAGAGCATCGCCCACTCGCCCGAGCCCTGCACACCGGTCCTGGGATGCCGCATCAGCAGGGCCCTGGAGCCCAGTGCAGTGAAGGACGAGGTGAGGAAGGGGCGGGGGGTTAAGCTGGACACTGCGTGTCTCGTGTGTTGGACAAGGGTTCGAGCATCCCGTTGTAACACATCTAAACTGGCTACCAAAAACAACGCATGGCTTTGCATTCCTCTGCTTCCTGATGTTGAAAGACAAGTCATCTCTGTGTGCCTAAATACACGTCACAAAGGAACAATGACATCCGAGAATCCAGCGCTTTACAAATGTGTGTTGCATATTTAAGTAAAATACATTTTGGATTAACCCTCTTGGTTAAGGGATACCTTCCTGCCCATAGGACAAGAAGGCTCAAAACCCCAAAGAGAAACATGTGCACCCCAAAACCACCCATCCAGAAATAGAAACAGAAAGAATGAGCGGCTGCAGTATGGGACTGTGGACGTTCCTTTCAAAAGAGATGGCAGATATTAACAGCTGTAGGGTGCCAGTCAGACCCTGGGCTGAAGATATGGCATCAGGAGCAGCAGGGGCGGAGAGGGAGGCACCCAGGGCTGGACGCCAAAGAAGTTGGGTGCCGGAGATAGAAGCAAAGAGAGCAGATCCACCCTGAGAAAAGGGAACGTTAAGAGATACAAGCAGGGAGACGAGGTTGAAGGCAAGATCTCAGGAGCTGCAGTAGGGGCAGCCCAGGGGGTCTTTTGATAATTGATGTGTAGCTGTTTGCTGGGAGGGTTTGAAGCAGGTCCAGTATAGCACGAGTGCAACAAACGGTGTGTGTGTGTGTGTGCGCATGCGCAAGCATTACATATGCAGTAAACACCTGTAGCAAAAGTTGGCAATGATTATGATTTAAAACAGTTGGGTGAGATTTACTATTTCGTTATCCCTTCCCAACTTCAGGGAAGATCTTGCTTTTGTTACTTTCCACTTGATAGAGTGGGAGCAAGGTTAGTTATATGGCTTAAAGTCATGTGTTTACTTTGTATTATAAACAAAGATCCCAATGTCCCACAGACTCCCGTGTTGCCAACTGGACATTGGCTGCCAATAGAAGACAGCACTGATGAGATTAATTACGGGACGCCTAATGGCTTGCACCTGCGAATACATCAGTGCTGCCCACTGGGAGCTTCAGCATGCTCTTAGCTCTTAGGTCAGCCAGGGCCAGATTTCTCCACGTTCCAGCTCACAGGCTCATAGACTCCAGCTCTGTTCCTGGAAAGGCCCGGCCCAGCAGAGTGTATAGGTAACTATTAAATCAGCAGTACGTCAAAGACTTGGAACACTTACATTGTATTCAAGCCATGGTGATTTCCTCGTTTAGAAATAATATGAAACATACGGCTTCATCCCTTGAGGATTAAACTTCCTGTATTGAGCTTATTTCTGCAGATTTTTTTTTTTACTTAAGTGACAAGTATTCAATTTCAAGTATCCCCAGTCTTTAGGAAGTGATTGATTTTGTAGCAGGTGGTGTGATGCAGGAGATCCACTGGATTAGGGTTCTCTGGGAGAAGGCCTGGAAACACCTTCTCAAAAGGAAGGCAGAAGTGCCTTTTAGTGTGTATGCTCTGTGACTTTGTAATTCCATTTGCGTCTGTTTAATGGCCATGGTTACAGGCTAATGACTTTAGCTTTTAAAACATAATGTGGTTGTGTTATCATGCTTATTACCAATAAGCATTACCATTTTCTTGTTCCTTCTAGTCTGCTTTCTTAGTTTAGTTGTTTTTAAGTTCTTCTGTATTCCTTTAGCATAAAAGAATCAAAAGGGCTTTAGGTTTTGCGAAGTACAGTATACCATCTAGTACAGAGATACGGAGAGACTGTGTTGCGGTTCCAGTTCATCACCAGTCGAGTGAACTGGGTGGTGCAGAGCTCAGCGGTGGACTATCTGCACCTGATGCTGGTGTCGATGAGGTGGCTGCTGGAGGAGTACGACATCGATGGGCGGTTCTGCATCAGTATTCACGACGAGGTGCGCTACCTGGTGCGCAGCGAGGACCGCTACCGCGCTGCACTGGCGTTGCAAATCACCAACCTGCTCACACGGTCAGTACACCGATTCGCATGAGCCTCCTGTCGACAGTAACTTTTTCAAGCAGGAAAACAGATCGTACTGCTGGTGCATAAGTAGTATGGGGGAAACTGCATGCATGCACACCATGGGGTCCTCAGTGGGTCTCTGTGCATTTCCCTCGGCCGTGTAATTGCAAAGGAGGCTGGCACGTGCCCACCCGTCTGGCGTCTTGACTGCAGCCTTGCTTTGTCCCATAGCTGCATGTTCGCCTATAAACTGGGGATGCAGGACTTGCCCCAGTCTGTGGCGTTCTTCAGTGCAGTGGACATTGACAAGTGCCTGCGTAAGGAGGTCACGATGGACTGCACCACCCCCTCCAACCCCACAGGCATGGAGAGTCGATATGGCATCACTCCGGGTAAGGCTGTGCAGTGCGTGTGATAATGAATCAATAATTAAGCAGCGTCTCGAGTGTAATGTCAGTTACTTGTCTATGGCAATTGCAGCAGCTATAGTTTGTAAATAGCTTTAATTAATACTGTGAAACAAAAACACCAGAACAATAAAGGAAAAGTATAAGAATATTTGATTTAGTCTTTATACAGAAATTAAAGCTCACAAGTATATTCGAACAACACTGAAAAATTAGTAGCTTAAGATTTGACCTCAAATGATCTGTTTGGAAAATAGTTGTATTTTTTCCTCTTCTTTGTAGGTGAGGCCCTGGATATTTACCAAATTATTGAGATGACGAAAGGCTCCCTGACCAAAGGGAAGTGACTAGTGAAATCATGACTGCTCTGGACCTGAACTTGTCCAACTGCAGCCCTTTCTCTGCGTCTAAGATCCTGGGAGTGGAAACTGGGCAGGAAATAGCCAAGCCTGCTGTGGAAGGACACCAGTGCAGGAGACCTGCAGTCCTACACAACTGCCCACTAGTGAACAAAGTCCACTAAGATCCTGATGCACACTCATGTGGTATTCAGGCAGGGAGGCACTGTGAAGTCCTTGAGTAAAACTGAGGGGATCAAGGGTGAAGAGCTCGGGCCTTGACCAGCTACTCTTCACTGCAGGAGACCAAAATATCTGATGGTCTAATAAATGTTCAAACACAAGCAACACAATATAACAGTGAGCCAAAATGATATAGAAGTGTGTGTAGACTTTTCTCTACAGTATTTACATACTACATGTAAGAAAGCAGGGAGTTTATGTAAATAACTTTAACATTTATGTAATATAGATGACATGATTGCTGCTGCGCAGGACCCAGCTGCAGTTGTTCTGAAGATACTTCTCAGTTCTGCAGCTGGAAGAGCTCATGGCTGAGCCCCCAGTCCATCACCTAGACTCATTGCATGTTCACTGCTTCCTCCTCTTCTTCTTCTTGGGTTCCTGGTTCTCAGGAGGCTCTTCAGGAGCATCAGCCTGAGAATAAAAGCAGCACTCATGTAAATATTGTTTAATAAATACTATTTATTAAGCATTATGCAGCTGAGCCTTCTTGATCATTACTGAAATGCTAACTTGTCTCAAATTGTTTCAATGGATGGGAGGTACACATTTTTTCTTGACTACCCAAATTCATAGCACCCCACTTCATGCTGGCACAATGGGAGGGGGCTGAATTTAAGACTGCACTCCCCCAGAATGCAGAAAATTGCAAAGGTAGCAAAGAGTTAGGGATTGCTCCCTCTCTCACCTGCTGGCTGGGGCTCTCCTGCTCCTCCTGCTCCTGCAGCGCTGCGTCCAGCGTGGCCGCGTTGATGCGGAAGTCACGGGAGGTGCTGAGCTTCATGTACTGCATCAGATTGACCTGCGGGGGGCAGCACACAGGCTCAGACATGGCTGCTAGTAGTCATTTTGGCAGAAACGGGACAAAGTAGCCAAGTTAATAAAACACAAGACTTCGTCACAGAAACAAACACGCTGGACAGTTCTGGTCCGGAATTAAGTAGGCCTGGCTTCTCCTTATCTAACTATAATTCATTTTCCTGTGCAGGAAAGGAATAGTCACCAACAAAGGAATCAGAGATCACGTATCTATACCCAGATTAGATCTGCCTCTAATACTCCAATACAGCCCAAACTGAACCAGCCTCTGGCCTCAGGTCTGATCAGGCCACTCAGGAGCTCCCTAGACTCCCACTGCAGCTTTATACGTTATCACTTAAGATTAAGAAAACAAGAGATGACACATTACCTATTAATTTACAGTGGTATTCTAGCACCACTCTGCACTACTGAACCTACACAATCTGAAGCATGAACTTCTGGCAAAACCGAGAAAGCAAACATTACCTTTGATTTCTTGGAGAGAAGAATGAGGAACTTCTCATACTGCTCAATACTGAAGACCAGGTTGGGAATAGCTTTCGTCTCCCGCAGCACTTTGGCCTAAAACACACAGGACCACCTGTCAGTCACAAGCACATGACCACTGCTTGGTTAATTAGGGTGCTGCAAAACTTAAGAGACGACAACAACAATAAAAATAAACTCAACAATAAAAATAAACTGTTCCCTTTTGGTCTTTACACAATACCCAAAACACAGGCAAAACTAAACTGGAAGGTCTCCGGTCTGAAACATCCTGTGTGAATGCAGCTAAAAACTGCAGCCTCAGAGGTGCAGCAGAAACCCCCCAGTCTGCACGGTACCGAGACAGCAGTGGCCTCTTCTTTCTTCTTTTTCTTCCTGTCCGCTCCCCCAGCACTCAGCTCCTCACTCTGGCAGACAGAGAAAAAATAATTAAATCGACCTGCAGCTTAATGACCTCGGGAATCGATACAAACACAGTTCTTACTTTTCAGTGCAGTTTACTCAGCATACAGTACATCCTGGACTTAGATGCTCAACATGCATCAAAGGGTAAGAAATTACACAAAATCCACCCATAAATACTAAATACAGGAATGAGTAATCAAGAATGCGAGGCAGACCTTTGCACATGTTGATATCTGCCGAATGGGATCTCTTTGTCAATGGTTCTTTTTTCTCCTGTTTAAGTCACAGGAAGGTCCAGGTGCACTTGGTGAGAAACGCATGCCAGTGCTGTGTCACACTGCCACAACAGTGACAAAGACACTGCGGGTATCTCAACTGCACACAGACCCTGCACTTGCTATATTCCAGTGCAGGACTTCAACCTGACAAGTACACCGATTAAAGAGTAAGGGCAGAAGAAGAATTACAGTAGAGTCCCGATTATCCGACCTAAACGGGCCCGATATTTTTCGGATAATCGAAAATGTCGGATAATGCGGAAACTGAGTAGACAAATCACAGATTAACAGAAGTATAAGTATGAAATCTGGTTTATTGATCTACTGTAATACTAAAATTATAGAACTATTGTTAGTTACTATTTAAAAAAATGAGTGATTGGAATCTGTTTCCCAGATGTGCTTCTCTTCCTTGAGGCAGGGTCTCCCCAGCGTCTTAGTAACATGACAGCAGCAGCTGTTGCCTCCTCTTGTTGTTCTACGTAAGCTAGTGAGCCTGCACCCCTTCGCTGTGACTGATCCTTTCAGATCTGTCTGGTCCTGGTGCAGACCCATTAAGGGAAAATACAATAGTAAAATAAAACTCCATCACTGTTTGTACAGTACAAAAATAAATCACGAGCGCAAACGAGCAACCAAAGCTACTGTACGTCAATGGTAGTACGTGACGCACTGAGGTACAAAGCAGCATGGGATTGGGCAAACTATTATGCATGCGCACACATACCGTATATAGCATGATCGGCTATGTCGGATAATCGAGACTGTACTGTAAATTAAAGAGGAGGGAATTCAGTTGATGAGCAAGAAATCTGTCTGTGACAGGTCCAGATGTGCTCTTCAGCGGTGTAGGTTATAGCGCCCTGAAGCCTGCCTGTAGTACAGCAGCCCAGCCCCCCTCTGACAGCTGGGAGAGATTCTGGCTGTTACCTGCACGTAGGTGATGAAAGTGTAGCACTGCGGCGTCAAGTGGGATCCGGACAGCTTCACCTGCACCAAAGGAAAAGGAGCTTTAAGCAACAGACTACAGTCCTAGATTTTTATCAACATACGCAATTTTTATATACAAATCAGAAAATAAAAAATTAAGTTTAGAAGTCAGACTTAGAACAGATCACTACAAAGCTGCAAAAATGCACCACAGATGCAGTCAGTACACACTGTGTGGTATGCCTCATAAAATTCATTATTACAACCCAAATTCAGGTTTAAAGGAAATACAAATACAGATAAACATCATATGGAAAAGAGGCACATTCTGAAGAAGACACGTCCTTTGAAAGGCAGCTCTTTTTGAACATTGGACTTAATGTACCATCACAATTATTGTGCACTTCACCTGAAAAACTACCTCTCTCTATATGTATAACTCTACAGTATATACAGTACTGTATATAAAACTCTCTATATATAGGACTTAAGTCATTTCATTCACAAAAGTTTTGTGTTATAGTGTGTTATGCAGTAACGTTTATATGACGCTGTGGAGAAGTTAGAAACTGGTCATTATAGGTAAAAGGAGAGCTTGTGTTTACTACATGAACACAGCATATGCAGAGTCCAGTTTTCATGAAGACGCTCACCAGCTTCTCGAACCTGGTTGGGAGGCAGCCACGCTGGGTCGAACACAGCTGTATGTACTGTGCAAAGACAAGAGGAAATCAGCGCTGTTCAAACTCTGCTTTAGAGGAGAATGGAAAGTTTTAAATCACTGCAGTGGATTGAGCATTTTAATTTAATGAAACAATCCGAGTCTAGACAAGACTGAGGTGAATGTTTTTTTCTCTTAAAGAGTTTGGAAAATTGTTACAACTTTATGTGGAGAAAGAGAAGTAAAATAAATGTACTGCAGTTAAACACTAAGAAATTGATGTTGTTGGTGCATGTCATAGCTTTTTTAAACCTTTGCATTAACAAGATACATGGTGCTACACAAGCTGTATTCCTGCTTGCAGGAATTTAAAATGGGCAGTAATTGAAAAGGTGCTGATAAGGAGGCTAGCGGGCGGTTTGCAGGGTGCACTCGCTCACGTATTTGCACAAGGCGGTGAGGATGGTGTAGGTGCTGGCCAGCTCCCTCAGCAGGGTGTCCACGCTGGCCCCAGGCGGCAGGGCAGTCTGGACCAGCTCGTGCAGGGCGGTCAGCAGGGTGCCCAGCTGCAGGGTGATGGCCTTCTCCACCGGGTCCTGCTGCGGCCCCTGGGAGGCCTCGCCTAGCGGGACAGCGAGCAGGTTACAAGCACAGACAGGCCGCCTGGTCCCCACGCCTCCCCCTGCCTGCCTGCTGCAGGGCCTCATTCATCACTCACAACAACAGTCGGCAAAGAAACTGATGCCCGTGAGAACTCTCAAGAGTATACTCAAGATCACAAAACAAGAGAAGGCTCCTGGATCCATTGCAGCATTTGGCTGTCCTCATGTAAGATTTGTTTTATTTATATTTAATTTTTATTTAACTACATCCTTCCTTTTAAACTATGACTGATGCTCATTACATAACCTCTATTCAACAGGTTGGTTTTTCAAACCTCTATAAAACAACCTGAAGTGTGAACCGATATTTTTTATCACGTCTTCTTTATTTTCCTACAGTAGTTTAGAACAGCAAACAGGTGTGGTGACGGCCAGCGATGTCTGGAGACTAGTGTCGGAGATTGCAAGGTAAAGGCACAGGGCATACGTGGTCAAACACAGCAGCGTGCAGTCTGCAGGGAGCTCACATTAGCTGCCCTGTCAATGTCATCTTAGAAGATTACTCAAAGAGTTTTGTTCAATGTTCTTCATAAATAATGTACAGTATAACTAAACCTTAAGAAGTGTTTGTTTTGGGATATCATTCTGCTCCAGACCACTACACTTGGAAAACCTCTTATCCCTCTCTCTGCTACGGTAACTACCTGGTCTGGGTGAGAATGGTGTAGGTCTTCTGCCCTGCCAGCTAGTGCACAGCAGAACACCAGAACCTGGGGCAGCAGCACTGGGTGCTGAGCTTCGGGAGCTGTTTCAGTACCTGTAGGCAGCCTTTCCGAATTGAGCTGACCCTTCTTTTTGGAGATCAGCCAGTCCACTTCATCCAGGATCCTCCCGACCTGGGACAAGACCATGAGCTGGACAGAGAAACCCAGATAGCACAGTTCATTCTATACCACAGATTTAATCTTCTTCACAAACGCATAGACGCAGAGCCTGCTGGTGACTAAAGGAATTTATACCCACAGTGGCAGTAGGCGCTGCGGTCTTGGCATTGATGATGGCAAAGTGAGATTGCTTCTCCACTTCAATGTCCTGAATGAAGGAGGAAAGGACAAAAACCATCATCACAGATGTTCAATCATTTCTTTAGAAGAACTCACGGGGGATTTATTATTAGATCCACCAGTTTACTTCTGTTTTCTTTACCTGCTGTTAAAGCTGAAATAGGCACTGCATGACAACAATCACTGCTTACATAAGCAGGCAATTGAAGATGACAAAACGTATTTAC